CCTAACTCAAATAGTGTAAACAATGACTGCTTCTCATGCTTTAACACGAATGATGTCCTCAAGTGTCTTCAATCTCTCAAGCCTACTCAGTCCCTCGGTCCTGATGGTGTTCCTGCTGTCATCCTTAAGAAGTGTGCCGACATCTTGTGTTCCCCGCTAACTGACATTTTCAACGAATCGTTTTCCAAAAGTATTATACCTGAATCATGGAAAAACATCAAGATCGTTCCAGTGCCTAAATCTACAAGTGGACCTAATGTTAAGTTTAGACCCATTTCAATTACCTCACCTTTCTTGAAAGTTATGGAAAGACTTATTTTACTTAATCTTGATCCCTCTTTAAAACCTTTCAACGACCCCAACCAGTTTGCTTATAAACATAGTAGGAGTACGTTAGATGCCGCTGTCGTCCTCCACCATAGCATAGTCTCTAGTTTAGATAAAGGGGCTAAATACGTTCGCTGTGCCTTCCTTGATTACACATCTGCATTTGACTCTGTTCCCAGGTCTCTCTTGCTAAGTAAGCTTGCTGCAACACAGGCTGAAAGCTGGACAAATAAGTGGTTGCATTCCTATTTTTCTGAAAGGAAGCAGTACACCGTCTACAATGGAAAATCCTCCACTACCTCACTTACTTTAGCTGGTGTTCCTCAAGGTGCTGTTCTTTCTCCCTTTCTGTTTTCGTTTTTCTTACATGACTTGCCTCATTCTGATGTAGCCACTTTTGTTAAGTATGCCGATGACCTCTCGGTCTCTATGCCTGTCAACTCTCAGTCAGATTGTTCCAAATTAAATAGCTTTCTGTCGGAAATTAGTCAGTGGTCCTCTTCAAACGGACTTAAGCTTAATCCGTCTAAATGTCAGGTAGTCAATTTCACTTTCAGACGTAAATGTGACCTACAGCAACTAGTTAGCTCACATGGCCCCACTCTCATTGACGGCACAGAGGTTGAAAATACATCTAATGTCAAGTACCTTGGGCTGAGTTTTTCCACCGATCTTTCCTGGTCTTCCCACATCTTGCTAGTTACTAGAAAGATGTTTCGCTTAACGTTCTACATTAGGAAATTTAGGCAGTCTGGTATAAAGCAGTCTTTGCTTTCTCAGTTTGTAAATTCTTGTATTCTACCCATCCTCCTTTACTGCTCCCCATTAGTCTTTCCTGGACTACTTAAGAAAGACTTTGCTTCGCTGAGAAGGGCACTAAAAGCTGTTAGTAGGGCAAGTGGGATATCGTTAAACCAACTGGTGAACACTATTGTAGATAGACATATAATGTCATGTAAGAAACTAGCGAATACAATATTGTCGGACCCCGAGCATCCTCTCTATACGCATCTATCTCCTTGCATTTCATCTGGAAGAACTAGAAGCAGCTATAGGAGGCTATATGCTAGGACTACCAAATACAAAAACTCCACAATACCATATCTGGCACAGCTGTTATGTGATGAGAAATCCGTTAGGTATGACACGATAAACTTACTGCGGCACTCTAACAAATAGTCCCATTAGTTTTTGTTTTCCTTTCCTCGTTACTACTACACTGTTGTTCTCATCTACAACCACACATCAACTTTATATTTCAAATCCTGTGGTGCATTGTTTGAAATGAAATACTCTACGCTGTTTTTTTCTTAATTTTTAATATTTATTTATTTTATTTATTTATAACTTATTTATTTTATTTTTATTTATTTTTGATTTTTAAAAATCTTATATAATTTATGAGGTAATTAGATGCAATATACTGTAATGCACGCTGAAAATTCCATACCTGTACCACAAATACTGTTTGGAATAAAGCTGTTATTATTATTATTATTATTAAAAAGAGCACTCCCTGATGCTACATTATGACTGGTATTCTCAAGCTGCCCATTATTCTTCAACAACCTAAAAGATAAACCACCACATCTGATCACTTCTGAGTGTATCTACCAAATCACTTGGTCATGTGAAGCGAGATATATAGGTCACTCGATGCGCGTTTTATCTTAGAGAGTCAAAGAACATCATCCTGTTTGACTACAGAAAGGTAACAGTTGATAAATAAGGAGTGCTATAACTGAACATATATTCAATACTGGCCACTCAGTATGTGTAAGGAGAATTCACTCAAAGTTATTTACACAGTCAAAAGAAGACTCCCGAACACGATGAGCTTCCGTATACTTTGCATTGCCGAGAAGGTTTTAGCGATCCGTATAGAAATCCCTGATTTATGTACACAGAAAAAACTTCTCCACCCCTTCCTTCTACCTTGGGTATAACTCCAAGTTCTACTACTTTGTACATAATGCTTTTTTGAATGTTTGTATGACATCTTAGTGACATCTTCTTCTTAACCAACCCTTTATTCACTCTTTCTACTTATTACATAATTTATTTTTCGAACGCGTGTTTCCATAAAAATCCTACGTCATATTACGCAACCCTTGACAATACTTTCCAGTCTTCACACCCTGGTTACAATCTGTCATTCATCACATTTTACAAATATTTTGATGACGTCAATAGTAACCCTAACGAATCTTTATTTTATTTCTGTTTGACAATCCTAATGTGCACACGAACACACACAAAATAATTATATATATAAATGCGATTGTACAGCTAAGTGAATGAATTCGCCAACGAAAAGCGACTCTTCGCTGATCTTTGTTGTTCTCATACTGAGATGCCAATTACTCTGATATCAATATTTACAAATACTACACTCAACACAAGGAACAAGATTTGAATTTTGAGCTGTGATTTCAACTCTATCAGTAATTCTATTTGGTTCACAGATCTGGGACACGCATCGCCAGAATCACTTCCTACAGACTGCTGCAGACTTCCATCATATAATCAGCCGGCAAAAAGAGACTGACAGTAAGGAACTGTGCCAGACAATGAACTAGCTAACAATTTGTTGCCCAACTAGTATGCAGAAGGAGACGTAGATGGATTTGATGTAATCTGAGGAGACCAGTGAGTGAGATCACCTGCTAGGCCCTCCAATGAAAATTGTTATTTATGCGTGAAGGTATAATGTACATGGTCAGGTCATTCAAACGTATTTGCACAAATATTTCCATTTTCTAGGTCACATATTGTTTTTTCTTAAATGAACGGTTAATATCAGGTGTCAACCAAAACTTTTGTCTGACAAATACTCATTCACAAGTCGTATATGAAACCAGTGACCATTGATTTGTGAATCCCCATGTACATACACACATACTTGAGGCTCCGAATGAAACAATCAACCATGTCTACATGTTTTTTCACTTTGCGTGTCAATTAAGTACGTGTTCCAGACTGTATATCGCTTTCCGAATAAATTCGTAAATAGAACAGTAGATAACGCCTACATTCGATGTCGTAATGCTGTTTTGGTCTAATAAATCATCCAAGTAGACTATGAAGTCCTACCGGTTGACGTGGGTTCATCGGCAGTACGCATCCCAAACTAGGATGAAATAGCTGTCTAGTACTCCTATCTGGTTTTCAGGGGGTTCTCTAATTGATATCAGTCCATGGTCCTGAAAATTAATCTGATACTAGCTACTAACTGGCTTGGAGTTCTAGTGAGAAGTCTTGACCAGTGGGGTCAATCCAGTCGGGAGTGGGGATGCAGTTCTCACCGACGACATTGGTTGATGCCAGTCACGCTAAAATCACGAATTGGTAAAGGTTGGAATTCATGGGCCAATGAATCGAGTTCCAGTAGTTGAGAATGGTATACCAGCCTGCTTTTTATCCAAGTGCTGGGTCTGAAACCCAGTGAGCGAGTACTGCAGATGAATCCCAAACTATGACGAAACAGTTTTCCAGTACCCCAGTGCTGGTTTTCAACGGTTCACTAGCTGTTATCAGTAAGTGGTTTAACCTGAAACGAATTTATAATATGGTTAGATTGAAGCATGAGTTCTAGTTTACCGATAATTTCGAAAGCCATCCCTTAATTCATCTGGAAATGTAGCGCAAAATAATAATGAAAATCATTGAAATCGAGACCTATCTAATATCATGCAAATATGAAGCATTTATGAATATACTACTATTAAATGTAAGTAGTTGAAAGTGATTGCATCAAAAAGTAGTGTTTTAACTCGTCAAACCGAAGTGATATTAAAAATTTGTTTTCGCTCGGACTCGTTGCAAGTGGAAACGCATTGACTTTGACTTGCCTAATGAGCACTATTGTTCAGCCTGAATGGTGTTTACCTATCATGTAGATGAGTCACACTTTTTCGTTTGTTTGTTTGTTTTGATGGCCATTTATAGTATCAAGTTATTCAACCAAATATTTTCTCTGATTTCCCATCCAGAATGGTGTAATTTTAAGACTAAGAAAGACCAAAATTTCATTTAACATTAAGTCAGCCATTGAATTCATATGCTTCAAACATTCAATGCGCTTTATTTAAAGCATTTACAACAGCCTGCTACACACTTCCATCGATACTTGTCTAATTCTCTGCACCCATACTGAAAATCAGATGGCTAATCGGCCAAAAACGATAAGCAGCAGAGAGGTCTAGCATACAGGGAACCATTCAGCAGCCTAGTGAGCAATCAACAAGGAACGGAAATGGATGTGTGGAAGTCATATGCCACGTCATCGAATGAAATTCGAACGGGATGCGAGCGACGGTCTGGACGTCCGCTTGTGACACAAAGATCATCTAAAGGGGGGAACGGAGAGATTATCAGTAGTCACACAACCACTCACAATGGATATAAGCTAACCGAATGGGATGTAGAAGTGACGATAAAGCTATATATTCTCCTTGAAACGCAAGACATAAATGCCTTAAGTGTGACTACATTACACTGTTTCAAAGAGTCATAACTTGTTGTACCTTGTAATAGCACGAATCCTGCGAACTGTATATTTAACATAAGATAAATTTATCTCAGAAGGAGGTGAATATCAGAAATATAAATAAAATATATGTTATCGTGGTCAACTCAAGACTTTTGAACAAAACCTCTGAATACTCTCATATCTCCTAATACGTATATTCAATCGAAAATCGAATGAGAACACATTACATGATCACAAATTCTTTAAAGTATAATTTAACTTTAAAATATTAGGAAACATTAAACAGTTTGTGAATCAACTTAGTGCTTCTACAATCACATAAGTGTTTTCCTGAAAATCTTCATCAATAATTACTACAGTGAACAGCAGTGTTATGTAGTGAATAGTTTCACCAGGTCATCAATACTCCATTCACCTTCACCATCAAGATTTGTTCCCTTCAAAAATTCATCGAATTTATCCTTTGGAATTTCACAACCAAAATCCCCCTCCAACACCTTTTTCAACTCTTGAGATGACAACTTTCCGGAATGATTGACATCGGCTGCTTCGAAGAGTGCTCTCAGTTCATCCCTGGATAAGGAGAAGCAGAAGGAGAGATAAATCAAGTCAATTCAGAAAACCATGGTAACCAATATAATTATGGAAAATGTTAACTCAATAGACTCACATTTTATTTGATGAATGAGTTAGCTGGTAGATTGTAGTGTGAGGCCAAGTGGAATTCAAGTAATGCCAGGTGGACATGAGTTTATATAGTGGACAATTTGACCAACCATTGACGATGGTAAAAGCCAAAAAAAATATTGATGAGATTGAAGGATATACGGACATGTGTACACGTTATATGTGATTGTGTTTTTAACGTTTGAGACACTAAATAATCGACTTGTTGAAATAACGTTCTGTCATTTGAGGAAATATCAATATAATCAACACTACTTTTGGACAAGAGTGAATTTATACATAATTTGGCAGAGAAATGCATATCATGTTAATACGTAGTTGTCGTAAATGGCATCTGTTCTCTCTCTCTCTCTGTGTCCTCGATGCAAGCTACAAGACTATTAGTGTTTAGCGAGGAATGAATGTTTTTCGCCCAAGGATGTTATGCCGGTAGAAGACTCATGTGCAGTAGTAGGTAAAGCTGTTAGTCGCTTTACATATCTTCATAGCTGTTTATCAAGTCTACACCTTATTTCGATGAATGGTTACCATCAGAAAGATCTAAAAAGAACAGACTAAGCATGGAAACACTTACTGATCGATTAGATCCTCAGTTTTAGCTCTGCTTTATTATGTAATAGCAATCTTTTCAAGTATCGGCTTGTAAGGATTTGATTGACTGGTTACAGGATTTCATCGTGAGCTTACATCATTTAAAGAACCATTGGAAAACCAACTAGGGAGTACTGGACAGCTGTTTCGTCCTATTGGTCTGCAAGGTTCGATACCTGAACCTTCTGGTTACAATGCGAGCTAGCTCGTAGACTATTACGACATTGGGATCCATCCCAATGGCTAGCACATGTATTCTAACTTCTGTCAATTCACGAAATAGCGCGACCGCTGTCCAATGTCTTCTGAGAGTATTTGTCCTCACATCCGACCTGCTGTACCCTCCTAATCACAACTTCCCACTAAAACCCTCAGGTAATTACTCTACCCGAATAAAGCCAGTCGCCAGTGGGCATGTCATTGACATTCAAGTATTGGTTTGTGCGGATGTGACTGATTGCTGACAGGATTTCATCATGATAAGCTGACGTCAGTTACAGAACCATTCGAAAACACTCAGCCTAGTTTGGGACTCTTCATCAGTACACACCCACAGGGGTTTCTAATACCTTACAGAAATTTGCCAATCCACTGTGTTAGTGATACGTTTGTTAGCAGTAACTGTTCAATAGGAACATGTCAAGGAGGAATGATTATCAACCAAGAAACTTAACGCAGCAGTAGTTAGTTATGAAAATTAAACAAGTTGGTCATACAAGGCAAAATTTTGGGGAAAATAAGAGGAGTTATTAAGAAACAAATGAGTTTTTAAAAGAATGGCTAGTGAACAAAGATTACTCTTTTCAATAACTTTATCATCAGGCACTACAGTTATATATACATTATAGTGAATGAATGAATTACTGTTATGAAGAGCATTAATGTTTAAATAACATCGAATCAATAATATTGATAGATTACAGCCCAATAGCATTAATATAAAATAAGCTGAATGATAGAAAAATTAGGAAAGATAATATTACAAATTTCATGAATTTATAGTCTCTACTGAAGACCAGGGCAGTAGTAGGGGCTGGCTGGACTTGCTTCTTTTGAACACAAAGCACTGGTTGTTTGAGGCGAATTGCAATATCCTCTGCTGTTTGGAGCAAGCGATACCTCGATGATTTCGGCAATTTATTAGGCACCCAGTAGATTATAGAGAAGGATTCTTCCACCCTAGCTGGCTTTATGGCCGGTTTGCACCACATGGTCTAATATCGAACTGCTAATGGTTTTAACTACACCTTTACTTAGCCATAGTGGGATATCTCGAGCGTTCACGAAAACTAAAGTCCCTAGGGCAACGGCCAAATGATTTTACTGACAAATGACAAATCATCTATCTTGCCGAACACATTAACCAGTAGAATTTAGATGGCACCATCTACAAGAACTAGATGCACGATGTCGTTCGCACCCTAGCGAATAATCAGTCCTAAAGGAGGTCAGTCGTGAGCCAAACTAATTCAAGCCGTTTCTCCTAAATGGGGTGTTATCCTGTGATTAGAAATACATCATAGTAACCCTCATCCACAAATGAGGCTCCAGTCACTATGCTTCAAACTACAGGACACTTAGTCTCACCAGCACCTTTATTAGGATAATGGAAACAATTATCAAGTAAGCTATCAGTGAATATCTGAGAAACAACAGCTTGTTGTTCATAACATACCACGGCTCTCTTCAAAATCTCTCATGCCTGATAAACCTTCTTACGGTAAGAGAAATTCTGGGTCACAGAAAGGGACAACAAGAAGTCCACTGATGTCATTTCCATTGACTCCAGCAAAGTCTTCGATAAAGTACCTCACTCAGTATCGTTCAAAAAATTGGAACGTCTTGAAGTCAAAGACAGTTTGGATTAAGGAATTCCCCATAGGTAGGAAACAGACAGTTGAGGACGACTCAACACTTTCCTGCTGGACGATAGTTTGCCCCTTATTCACCTTATATATCAGTGAGCTTCCTGTGCCTACCGAGTCTCCTATGGTTCTTCAGGCAGATAAAACAAAGATTTAGATACAACTTAAGGGCGATAATGACACTTTAACATTTCAAAGAAACCTGAACAAATCGCTAGAGAGGAGCAATGAACGGATGCTCTCAATCGACACAGCGAAATTCGAAACCATGCGAATGAGATACGCAAGCGTTAGCAAAACAAATTAGAGGGAATAACACTCCCATAAGTTCCGATTCAGATGGACCTAGTTGTCATAGCAATTCACGATTTAGAAACCACAGCCTACTGTCGCGCAATGGCAGAATATAGTTTCAGATCCTTATGAGTAATACGCAGACCGTTTACTACAATCACCTGAGATATGTTTACTTTATGTATATTTCTGGTGAGGTCAGGAGTGGAAAGTATATCTATGTGATCATTTGATGTTTTATGAGGGACTGAAATATGTTAGAAAATGTCCAGAGGAAGGTGATCCGTATGATTTCTTGCATGACCAATTTCTCATACGTTGAAAAACTGGACGTTTTGAGTCTTTTCTTGTCGTCACATCATAGGTAGAGGAATCTGATTAAAATGTTTGAAATTTTAAATAACGGCTACGAGCCTGATTCACTGCGTTTTTCCTTCCCACCATGTCGGAGCACTTCAGAGGAGACAGCAGGAAAGTGTGAAAGCCAAGGAGATACTATATCGTTGTGGAGTACTGGTTTTCCCACCTAGTCACAAACTCTTGGAACCAACTTCTAGAAAAAAGGGTGTCAGCGCCCTTAATTGACTCGTTCACAAATGGTTTAGACAATCCTGGAAACCTATTAGAGAAGGGTCAACATAGAATTCAAACCTTCTACCCCCAATAAATAAGTCTGGAAATCTGTAATCTAAGGTGTCTGACTGAAGCACTGTGTGATGAGGATTCGAATCTCTAAAGAGACACCAGTCCCTTCTTTGTTTGAGATAGGCTATACTAAAAGGTGCTAAAAAAGCATGTAGCCTCTGCCAGCCAGGAGGTTGTTTCAACTGTCTACAACCGCTTAACATCAACTTCCTCATTCTGTCTTATACTGTTTCTGTATGCCTATCATAGCATTAACAGTGTCTGTAAAACATAGGTAATTTCCCACACTTATTCCCCTTAATAAATTCGAATAAATCAAGAACAATAGTGGTTTTTGCAAAATAAAATGTTACCATCATTTATTTCGTTAGCTTCTCATCATCTGCTTACAGGCCAAAATTATTATTAAAAACCTTTAACAACTTGCTCTTTGTTGCAATCAAAAATCGATAGATATCTTTCTCATTTTAACTCCAACTGTATATACAAATTTACATGTATCGACGAGAGCAGTTACATTCGAAGGACAGATAGAAGAGCATATCTACGATTTTCTGAACATGTACAAACAGGCCTAAGTCTATAGGGAACAAAAGCTTTCAACAGTGAAATCGCCAGGCATCTCTTTGACACGAGTCATGAGGTGGACGTCGAAAAGTCGTTCAAAAGTATCAATAGGCAAAAGAGTTCAATTCTCCCCAAGTTTGCCAAAGCGACCTCCATCAAGCGCCTGAAACCTAATTTATGTGTTCAGAGAGAAGCAATTATCAGTCTTACCTTGTCCTGACTGATAACTGGATATTTTCACCCCGTCTTTCATCTAATTACGTAATGTCGAAAGTTTTCATTGTGTATGATTATTATTGTTGTTCGGAATAGTGTTTAATATTATATATATTAATGTGTGCATATATTGATTGATTTTTGTTTAAAATGAACTTTGTGCAAGTATGTTAAAATTGCCTGGAGGATTTCATCATGAGGTGACATTAGTTTGAGAACCACTGGAAAGTCTAGAGGCACTGGACAGCCGTTTCGTCCTAGTTCGGGACCCTTCAGCAGTACGCACCCACCGCCAGGGTTCGAACCCAGGACCTTCTGGTTACAAGGCTAGCGAGCTCGTAGACCATTGAGCCACTGGGATCAAATCCAACGGTTTTTGAATTCTTACTTCAACCAATTCACGACACAGCGAGACCAGTTAGCAATGTCCTGCACGCAATCAAACAAAATCCTTACAAAACCAATACTTGAAAATTAATCTGATGCTCACCAGCGACTGGCCCTATTCAAGCAGTTAACCTGGGGTTCTAGTGGAAAGCCATGACCAGTAGGGTGCAGCAGGTCGAAGATGAGGCAGTAACTCATCGAAGAAGGCATTGGGAAATGGCCGCGCTATGTCGTGAATTGGCAGAAGTCAGAGCTCGCCTTGTAACCAGAAGGTCGGGGTTTGAACTCCGTGGTGTGGGTGCATACTGATGAAGAATCCCAAACTAGGCTGACGAAACAGCTGTCCAGTACTCCTAGGTTTTCCAGTCATTCTCTAAATGATGTCAGCTCATAATGAAATCCTCCATGCAATCAAACAAAATCCCTACAAAACCAATGCTTGAAAATATGTTAAAAATGTTTCGGTAGATATACTTAATAATGACTTTGGCATGTAAGCAGCTGAGCTGATGAGAAACCAACGAAATAAATAAATGATGGTACCACTTTATTCTAAAAAAAACTGTTGTTCTTGCTTTATGC